GGGGGTCAAACAGACGGGGTGCTGCATTGTGCATGTTGGCTCGACTGTAAAGGCTCTGCTACACCATAAATGGAAATGGAAACCTTAATTATTAATCATTGGTAACACCTGTGTTTACCCTGTCGTTTCATCAAAATGGTGCTGTGAAGACATACAATACATATAAAGCTACAAAACTTAAAGGGGAACTTGGCAACTTTTTTCAAGCTTAAGGATAAAAAAACTCCGTTTAGAAAATCATAATTTCATTTGGATGGTTAAATGGCCCTGTTTCAGAAGTAGTGGAAAATGGTGACCAACCGCTCATTTTCGAACCGTATTGTGAATACACGTTTCCCAGAGCTGTTCTGTACGGGGAGCTCGGTTGGAGAAACATGGGATGACAAAAATGGAAAACCAGGCGAAGAAATGGCTAGAGTTTGCCAATGTTTCCCTTTTAAGTCATAAGATACTAAATCTGGTTTAAGCAAATTTAACTTAAATTACTTAAGAAGTACTTTTTTATTTTTTTAACTTGCTTTTCTTTTTCAATCTATTCTTTGTCTTTCCTGGCAGAAATTGACCCTCCACATTCAGGTTTAATTAGACAAAGATTTTATTCGTACACATAATTTCTATTTAAACTTTAATTGGGTCAGACAATTAATACAATTCACCAAATCTCTGCATTCTCATATTCAACTAGAGAGATATGATAAGAAACTTAAAGACAATCATACACCATTTACCATTTACCATTTGAGAAGGATTTGTGTTTTATGTTAATGTCTTGACTGAACTGTAATCTTTCCTCCTTTACAGAGATAATGAATGATGTCATCAAGAAGGCAAGAGAGAAAGGAAAATGGAAGGTAATGGTCCTGTTATTCTGAACATCACTCCTCTGTGATCTTGACACTGAATATGAATAAAATCACTGAAGGTGTCCAAATAAAGTCCTTCCAATGGCTCCTGCTGTGTGTGACTTTGTTATAGGTGCTGGTGGTGGACAAGCTGAGTATGAGGATGATTTCTTCCTGCTGTAAGATGACAGACATCATGTCAGAGGGAATCACCAGTAAGTAACCACCCAGGTTCACTTCAGCTGTAGTTTTGAAGTCAGTTTAATCAAAATAAATTTATCTAAATGTAATTTAGTCACATGGCTATTATTTGTCAAGTGATAGTCCCTTCATGTCACTCCAACAACAAATTGTCCTTTTTACATTTCATTAAGTTACTTGCGTCACTTTACATTGTTCGTTGGCAGGCATTTTTTTCACTTTTGGGCCAGGCTAGCTGGTTTCCAGTCTGCTAAGCTAAACACATCCTGTTTCCATCTTAAGTGTGAACCATCGTTATGTTACCCATTGCTTTGTGCTTTTTTTGAGTTCGGCATACTGCAAGTTGAGCAGTGCTCATTGGCTGCATTTAGTTTCAACTTATCTTTAGCACGTTCTCAAATTACACATAAACAGTACACTGAAATAAGTTTCTGAGGAGATTTTATTATACAAATAGCCAAGCTGTAAAAGGTTTTTGATTCATATTTAATCAGCACTG